TCATTTGGTCCTGGACTTTCCCTTTTTGGTAGGTTTTGGATGATTGTTTCAATTTCTGTACTGCTGATCAGTCTATTTAGATTTTCCAGTTCCTTTTGATTCAGTCTAGGAAGATTATATTTTTCTAAGTATTGGTCCATTTCTTCTAGGTTATTAAGTTTGGTGTTATACAGTTTTTCATAGTATTCTTGTATGACCCTTTGTATTTCTGCGATGTCAGTCGTAATTTCCCCTCTTTCACCCCTGCTTTTGTTTATTTATGTCCTTCCTCTTTTGATGAATTGTTTCGGATCTCACTGAGTTTTTTCAGAGGTACCACCCTGAATTCTGTCATTTAATTTGCATAGTTCTATGTCTGTAAGCTTATTTTCTGGAGATTTTTCTCTTTCTTTCTGAGATGCCTTGTCACCTTGGTTGTTCATGGCGTTTAATGGATTATTTCTCCACCTGGGCATTAATGGAAGTGTATTCTGTTTTTTTGTTTGTTTGTTTGTTTGTTTGTTTTGTTTTTTCCAGAAAGAAAATATTATATAAAAGTCTCTCTTTAGCCTGTTGCAAAGAAGAAGTTTTTCTTTTGGTTTCCCGTAGGTGGCGTCTTAGCCTCTTGGACCCCTGCTGTATATAAAGCCTTAATAATGCTCTTTTATTTTTCTTATAGATGTTTAATCATGCTTGCCGCTCTCTGTCTCAATCACTCTCAGTGTTAGCGACAGTTTTGGTTGTGTTTGCTCAGATTCCCCTGGGGTTCTGTGGTGTTTGGTCGCGGAGGATATGGGGGGACAGGCCCTCTGGGTTGGGAGATGAGGGCTACGGCTCCACCTTCGTTTTGCAACTGTGGCTGGCAAAAATCACCTGTTGTTTCTCTGGCATCCCTGCTTCTCTGCCATCCCCACTTCTTTGCTTTCTGCCCTGATGCCTCTGCCATGCCACTAGCTGCGTAGAGCTCACAGCTCTCCCGGGCAGGCTGTTCAGGGAAGTCACTGCAACTTCTCCCCTCCCCATCCTCCTATAAGGAGCTCTGGTGGCTGCGAGAGGCACCCTTAGTTCTAACCAGTGGTAGCTCTTATGCACAGATTCCACTCTCAGATGTGCTGGTGAGCAGCTTGGGTGTTTTTTGTTGAGTTTTAGATGTTCAGCTTATTCTTGTTTCAAGGGGAGAGATCTGGGGACCTCTCTCACTCCATGTTTCTCCAAACTCTCCTATTTTATTTTTTGGGCTTTAAACTGCTTGTTTGACTTATTCGTGTTGATATATGTAGCTCCATTTTATTAATTTTTCATTGCTCCATAGATTTCTATTGTAAGAGAATGCTACAATTTATTGATTCACTCATGATGGATATTGAAGCTTTATCTAATACTTTGCTAGTATGACTTTGAAGCTAACATATCTTTGTTTCTTTGGCACATATAGGAGAGATCCTCCTTTTCCTCTAGAGTAACACAAAGTAGCAGTGTTGATAGCACTTGGGAGCTTCTGTTATCTAAAAAATTATTTTCAATTTTTGAACAAGTTTTGCTCTTTGTATTTATAAATTTGATTTAGCTATATTTCCCAGGAGAGTGTGTTTGTGCGTGTGTGTGTGCGAGCGTGTGTGTGTGTTTGTTATAAGATCTTTTCTTTTTCTTCCGCAAGGATAAATTATCTCGCACTTGATGAACCACACTGCCCCCTTGCCATATATGGAGTTCCTTAAATATGTGGTTCTTTTTATGAGCTTTCTGTTCCATTGAGCTACTTGTCTCTGTCTTTTTGTCAGAACTACCTGGTTTTAATTATGATAGCTTTATAATATGTTTTCATACCTCTTTTGGGAAACTCTTCACCCCTTTCATTGCTTTCAAAACTATGTGCTCCTCTTTGCCCAAATGCACTTTAGAATCACTTTGTCAAGTTCTACAAAAAAATCTTTAGGAATTATTATTTGATTGCATTCAACTTATATATCAATTGGGGCAAATTGATATGTTTCAACACTGAGTTTTCACTCATGTACATGATAATTTTTATATATTTAGGCTTTCTTTTATGACTTTCAATGAACAATTTTACAGGTATTTTCCCCTCATAATTGTCTTATGCATCCCTTATAGAGCCACCTTTAACACTTTCTAGTTTATGCAATTAAAAAAAATTATTATTACTGTTACCAGTGGTTTTTGACTACAGTTTGAGATGGCAATTGAGTTTTGATCATCAATCTTAAAGCCAGCAAGCTCATAAAACTCTTACTAGTGCTAAGAGTATAGACATTCTTCTTATTTGCAACGCTTACAACATTAATTATCTAGAATTGATTCCTATCTTTATCAAAGTTTCCTATGCACACCGTCTGATAGTCAAATAATTCTACAAGTTCTACATATGAAAATTGCAGTCTCCCTAACCTCCCGCCACTTTCCACCCCCTGGAAGTAACCTTCTTCAGCTCTTAACTGATTATTTTAGATTTTGCTGTCATACTTCATATAGCATGCTTATATTTCCACTTCTTGATTTCTCACATGTAGGCTTTATTATTGACTCCCTACAATGGATGGGAGCATAGGTTGGTTACTCCTGACCTCATGACACACATGCCCACTTTCTATTCCACATCACCGTAATCTCATTATATTATAATTTTGGATAACGTAATAGTCAATGTTTATGATATTATGACCTTGAGATTGGCATTTACAGCAGAATCTTGTAACATTCCAGCTTTGTAGGTGTATTTTTGTGTAACCACCCCTGTGATGAAGATGTAAAACAACCCCATGGCCTCAGAAGTCTCCCTGTGCTAGCCCTTTAGAGTGACCCCATCCCCACCATACCTGACCTTTGCAAATGCCAGTCTGATCTCTAGACTATAGTTTCCAGAATGTTATATGAATGGAATCATACAATATGTTATGTTTTGAGAATGACTTTGTTCACTTCGCACAATGTGTCCAGGAAACTTACAAGTTGTTGCACATGTAAATAATTCATTTCTTATTATTGCTTCGAAGAAATTCCATCTGCAAATGCACCACAACTTATTTAACCGTTCACTTATTATTAGACATTTATATTATTTTTGATTTTTTGCTATTACAAAGAAAGATGCACAGGATTTTGTGTGGACATGAGTCTCCATTTCTATGAGATACATGCCTGGAAGTAATTATAAGGCAGGTCCTCTCCTGAAAGAAGTCAGGAAATATTCCTTTTGTGGAATGGAGGCACAAACAAATTCTGAGATCCACACTGCACTATGCATGTAGGCTAAGTTTTACCAGCTCCATCAAAAAAGTGTTTGTAGCGGAGTCATTTCAGGAGCAGGCATGGTTCCATTTCAACACTGAGCAGACCCTGCTGATCCCTAGTCTTTCTTCCATCTGAGTATCTCTTGGTCTCGTGCAGATGAGGCCTAAGCTGGCCACATCCTAGGGTCCTGGGTGTGGGAGTTTAAGACAGAGCCCACAATCACAGACCCTTCCTGGCCTAGGTTCCCAAATGGAGCATCACCATAAAAACCTCAGATGGGGTGAGGGGCCCTGGAGAGAAGAAGCCACAGGTCAGGAGGGAGTATGACTTCCTGTAGGCCTGTCTAAGTCTCTCTGAAATTATAAGATAAACAACTCAACTTTGTAATCACCTTCACTGCCTGATTCTATTTCACAATCTAAAAGCAGGAAATGTCTAGCATCTAGAAGCAAGCTACTGACTCACAGCTATTTCACCCCATCCTAGGCCCTTCCTCTTAAATCATGGGAGGCAGGGCTTCGCTCCCCTCACAGAGCAGAGTCCGGATTTTCCAGCACACATTTGAACAGAGCAGGCTCCTTAGTTGTCCAGGATGCCTGTCTCTGCCCCCTGGACCCACCCTCCTCCTTGCCTGCTGCTGATTCTACTGCTGGGACTCACAGGTGAGCACTCCTTGGAATAAAATCCCCTCTCCATGCCCCTGGACCTTCTCCTGTCCCTCGACTTTTAGGGCCTCATGGTAAACAAGAGTGAGCCATCCAGGGCTGCCACAGAAGAACAATACTGGGTGTTATCTGAAAGCATGAAATCAGGGGTCTGAGTAATTTTCTGTGGATCCAGTGCCTGAACCAGGTTACCAGAGGCACCAAAACAATGATGCTTCAAAGCGTAACAGTGACATTAGTATGTGTATTAACTCATCTAATCCTCACAACATCCCTGTATGATGTGCGACAACTCTTATCCCAGATTTGCAGATGGGGAAACTGAAGCAGAGAGACTAACTTGTCCAATGTCACTTACCTAAGGCAGTGGTTCAGCCACATTCCTTTTAGACCGATCAGTTCTAGAGTTCATTCTTTAACCATGTTATGCTGTTTGGCTTCTCTACAGTGAAGCAAAGAAAAGAAAGTCTTTATTCGTCAGGTCACTCAGAGTCAGCAGAGTTAAAGTTGTGCTGTGTACTCATGAACTTTTGTTAATGATGTGTTGAATAGTTCCTATGTGCCATTGTTTTTACTGAGCATTTAATGTGTATTATACTTTCATTTAATCCTAAAAACAACCTCTATACCAGCATGTTAGACCACACTTTTATATATATTTGTGAATGTATGTATCTATGTGTGAGTATGTGCATTAAGTGGGTGTGAGGAAGTGCGCACACAGGCACACACAGGATTTTTGAAATGTCTTTCCTTATTGTTTCTTCAAATCATTTTCAGTCCACATGAAATGTACATGAACAGATGTTTAGATCTCTGTCTCTCAAATGCCCTCTTTTTTTTCCACTTCTCAAAATTACCACTTACCCTCCCACTAACTTAAGACAAAGTTCTCTCTTCATAAAATGAGTAGAATTGTGTGCATTAATATCCTGTTCCTCATCCATACTGGATAAAGGTGAAGAGGAAAAAAAGGGGGTAAAAGACACAGAGACTCCTTCCTGTATGATCTGTATCTGCAATGCATCCATGTATATATGTAATCATATTTGTATATCTATATCTATGACATCTATATCTATATAAATATCTATACCTATATCCGTATCTGTATCCATATCTGTCTGTATCTGAATCTATATTCATCTAATATTGGTTGAAGATTCAAGGCTTCAGGAAAATAATGAGTAATGACTTTTCAATTTCTTAAACACCCACCATGTGCAGATGCTGTAGGAAATGCCCAGTGCTGTTTACTCATATGACCATTATATCCAAGATAGATCCTCTTTTCATCCTTACCTACATGTAGGAAACCAAACTGGAAGCACAGAGAGGTTCAAGGTCACTCAATGGTAAATGGTAGAGCTATGATTTGAACTCGGTTGTAGACTTCATGGGTTTAACCATTGCTTATCTCAAATGCCTGTGGCCCCACTTGTATCCCATGAGGTTTCTGCTGCTTCTGCAAATGGAGATGGGGGAGGATGGAGTGTGGGGAAGGGTGAGTGTGGGTATCAGGCTGTGTGCTTTTTTTTGCGGTTCTTCTGCTTCCTTAATATGCACAACATACTTTTGCTTTTCACCAAGTCATCTCCATGAGAAATTCAGGTCTGTGGTAATTTTCAAAGAGTCTCAGTGAGCTATTGTGCTGGGCAATTCAAACACTATACAAAAACTTCCTGCATATGTACTACATGGTACAGTAACTGTACCATTACTTTGGGGTGTACTGGTGAATAAAAGAGACAAAGTAGCTGCCCTCGTGAAGCTTATTATCTAGTGGGGGAAATGAGAGTAAACAATAGACATCATATGGTATGTTTAAAAAGTGATAAGTGTAAGAAAAAAATTAAAGTATTGCTGGATAAGAGAATTGGGGGAATTTGTAAGGTACAATGTCTTTTAGACAGGGTAGTCTGGATGGGCATCATTGAGAATGGGAAGTTTGAGCGAAGACAAAAAGAGGGTTGGGAGAGAGCCATGTGGTGAGATGGGGGAAGAGCCTTCCTGAGAGCCTACAGCAAGTGCAAGGGCCCTGAGACTGGAATCGTCCTCTTGTGTTCAGGGATTTAAGCATTTGCTCTGAGTGGAAAGGTTGCCATTGCAAGATTTTGAAGAAAGAAGTGCCATGGACAGACATGAGTTTTAAATTATTCTAGCATTTGGTTGATAATAGACTCGCAGGACAAAGAGAGAGAAGCCAGAGCATTTAAGAGGTCATTGCATTTATGCAAGCAAAAATGTGCCTTGCATCAGGACAAAATCTAGTAGAGAGGGGAAAGATGGAGACTTGAGTCATGAGAAAGTGAAGCCACTGAATTTCCTGATGCATAGGATTTGGGGTGGGAGAACAAGAAGCAAGGTCTTTGGGACCCGAGTACCTGAAAGATTAAAGGTACCACAGCTGTGAAATAGAGGGCCATGGGAAAATTAGGACTTAAGTTTTGTACATGTTAACAGCGAAATATTGATTTCCAACCAAGAAAAATGTGAGTGGACAGTTGAACAAGCAAATCCACAGTTTAGGGGAAAGCCTTCGACCAGAGATGTAAATGAGAATTACAGATACACAGATAGCAGAGTTGTTGCCATTTCCTGTTCCTCTCAACCTTCTGATTCCTCTTCTCTCTTCCCTTATTTTTTCCCTCCAGTATCCCTTCGAGGTTCATTCCTACTGCTTCCCATTTTTGTCTTCTCAGTTCCTCATCTCTAATCATATGCAGACTTAAAACCCAAACCATGGATGTTCTTGGCACCAAAGGACCTGCCCTGTGACAGTGTGTGGCCTCCTTAGGAGGCATGTCTAGTTACAAGTGCGGCTAAATAAAATTTTGCCCCTGCAGTTAAACAGTTGGCTCAATGGTAAACTCATGTCCTTTCGACTCATAACTCATTGTCCAAACATGGTGAACAACCACAATTCTTTTAAAAACCCAAGTTCCTTGTCTGATGTTTCCTTGCTTGTTTCTCATGATTCTATCTTCCCATACCAGTGCAGGCTCTCAAATCTACCAGCATAAGGTTAATCTTTTTATCTTTAGTCATTTAGTCCAATTTAAACCTCTACTTGGCACAATATTCATGTTTTAAAACACATATTTTTGTGTTAAAATATACAAAATGTATAATTTACAATTTTAACCACTTTTAGGGATACAGTCAGTGGAGTCAAGTCCACTCACAAGGTTGTGTAACCATAAGCACTAAACACTGCCAGAACTTTTCAACATCCTCGGCAGAAATTCTATACCCATTAAAAGTAAATCCCCGTTCTTCCTTCCACCCCAGCACCTGGTAACTTCTATTCTACTTTTAGTATCTATGAATTTGACTTTTCTAGGATCTTCAGATAGGTGAACATATTTGTCCATTTCTATCTGTCATTTTTCACTTAGCATATTATTTTCAAGGCCATTCCATGTTATAGGACCTATCAGAATGTCATTGCTTTCTCCGGCTGAGTAATATCTTATAATGTGTATATATACATACCATATTTTCTGTATTTATTCATGCGCCGATGGATATTTGAATTGTTTCTACTACCTCTGGGTATTGTGAACTGCTGCTATGAACATTGATGTACGAGTTGAATCCTTGTCTGAATTTGGGAAAGGTATATACCTCAGAGTCAAATTGTTGGATATATGGTATGATTAAGTATTTAAGAAACCACCATTGTTTTCAACAGTGGCTGCACCGTATTTACATTTCTAGCAGGAATACGCAAGGGTTTCAATTTCTTCACATCTTTGCCAACATTTATTTTCTCTTTTTACTTTTTTTTTGTTTTTGATAATAGTCATCCTAAGGGATGTGAAGAGGTATCTCATTGTGGTTTCCCTAATTACTAGTTAGATCAAGCATCTTTTCATATGCTTACTGACCAGTTGTATATCTTCTGTGGAGAAATGTCTATTCAAGTCCTTTGTCCATCTTTAGTTGAGTGATTAGTTATTTTTGCTGAATTTTAGGAGTTCTTTACATTTTCTGAATATTTATCCCTCATGAGTATATGCTTTGCAAATTTTTTCTCCCATTTTGTGACTTGTCTGATCACTCTCTTGATAGTGTCCTTTGATATACGAAAGTTTTAATTTTTATAAAGCTTAATTTAGATATATATTTTTTCCCTTCGTCACCTGTGTTTTTGGTGTCATGTCCAAGAAATCATTGTTAAATCCAAAGTCATGAAAAATTGCACCTATAGTTCTTTCTAAGAATTTTACAGTTTTAGCACTAGTATTTAGGTCTTTGATCCATAATGAATTTATTTTTGTATGTGATGTAAGGTTAGGGTGCAAAACCTTTTTCTTTTTCATGTGCCTACCTCACATTTTGCATTAAAAGACTGTCTTTTCTGATAAATACCATGTGATTTCAGTTATATGTGGAATCTAATGAACAAAAAGAACAAACTAATCAAAAACAGACTCACAAATATAGGCAACAATTTGGTGATAGACAGAGAGCTGGGGGCTAGGAGGATAGGGTGAAGAGTTAATGACGTAAAATTAGTAGTTGATAGTTGGTCAGAGGGATGGAGAGCAAGGAATAGGGAATGCAGTTAGCATTAATAGATTGGCTAGGTTGAATACGATAGGAGAGAAGGAGCAATTATGGGGATCATTTTATAAACTTTATAAATGTCTAATCAATGTACTGTATACTTGAAACTAATAAAATAAAAATTAAAAAAAAAAAAGGACTGGTTTCGCCCATGGAATGTTCTTAGCTCCCTTGTTGAAAATCATTTGACCATATATGTGAAGGTTTATTTCCAGGCCCTCTATTCTAGTGCATTGGTCTGTATATCTGTTTTAATGCTAGTATCACACTCTGATTACTGTAGCTTTTAGTACATTTTTAGATCAGAGAGTGTGAATCTCCCAACTATATTTTTTTCAAGATCATTTCATTATTTGGGTCCCCTCGAGATTTCACATGAACTTTAAAATAGGCTTTCCCGTTTCTATAAAAATACAATTGGGATTTTGATTTGGATTTTATTTCGTGTGTCAATTGCTTTAGGTACAATTGACATCTTTACAATATTAACTCTTTCAGTCCATGATCGGGAGATGTTTTTCCATTTACGTCTGTTTAAATTTCTTTCAACAATGTTTCATACATTTCAGTGCACAAGTCTTTCATCTCAATGGCTAAATTAACTCCTAAGTATTTTACATTATCTGATGTTATTTTAAAGAAAATTGTTCGCTTCATTTTCCTTTCGGATTGTTTGGTACCAGTGTATAGAAATGTAGCTGAGTTCTGTGTGTTGATTTGTAAGCCACAAGATTGTGGAAATTATTTCTTAGTTCTAACAGTTGTATGTGTTTGCATGCATGCTTGTGTGTGGCATCTTGTGATTTGCTACATATAAAATCATCATGGGTGCACAGACTTAGTTTTATTGATTTCTTTCAAATTAAATGTCTTTTATTTACTTTTCCTGTCTAAATGCTTTGTCTAGGAATTGCATTACTGAAAGTTGAGTATTAGGGGCAAAAGTGGACATCCCTGTCTTGTTCGTGATCTCAGGGGAAAAGCCTTTAGACTTTCATCATCAAATATGATAGTAGGGACGGGTTTTACACATATGATTTTATCATTTTGTGTTTGTTTCCATCTATTCCTATTTTCTTGATCATTTTTTGTCATGAAAAATGCTGAGTTTCACTGTCAGATGCTTTTTCTGCATCAAATGAGATTATCATGTTATTTTTTCCCCTTCATTCTATTAATGCAGTACATTATATTGTTTGATTTTCATATGTTGAATCATCCTTGCGTTCCAGGAATATAGCCCAGGTGGTCGTGGAGTATATTTGTTTCAATAAGTTGTTGAATTCAGTTTGTTACTGTTTTTTGAGGTTTACTGAAACCGTATTTATAAAAGATTTTGGTTTGTAGTTCTCTTCTAGTTCTTCATTCTGACATTGTCATCAGGATAACGCTGACGTGAGAATGAGTCTCAGAATGACTCTGAATAAGTTAAGAAGTCTTCTTTTGTCTTGAATTTAAAAAAAAAATTGAAGAGAATTAGTGCTAGCTCTTCTTTAAATTTTTGGTAGACTATACCCGTATAGCCACGTGGTCTTGGGCTTTTCTCTGTTGGGAGGTTTTTGATTATTGATTTAATCTCCTTGTTATTTATAGGTCTATTCAGATTTTCTATTTCTTTATGATTCAGTTAAATACTTCTAGAAATTTGTTTCTTTTATGTAGGTTATCCAATTTATTAGTGTACAATTATTCATACTACCTTTTCTAAACCTTTTTATTTCTGTAAAATTGTTAAGATTGCCCTTCTTTCTGATTTTACTTATTTGGATTCTCTCACTTTTTTTCTTAGTCAATCTAGCTAAAGGTTTTTCAATTGTATTGATCTTTAGTCAATCTAGCTAAAGGTTTTTCAATTGTATCGATCTTTTGTTGATTTCTTTTTTGTTTTTCTTTTTATATTTTGTCTCTGCAACAATCTTTATTATTTTCTTCCTTCAGATACCTTAGGTTTTAAGTTTCTTTTACTCTTCTATTTCTAATTTCATAAAGTAGATAGTAAAGTTATCGATTATGACTTTTTCTCTTTTTAAATGTATGTATCTGCAACTATAGATTTGCCTCGAGCACTGCTTTTGCTGCATGATTAGTTTTTGTATGTTGTGTTTTCATTCTCATTTGCCTCAAAGTATTCTCTAATTTTTCCTGTGATTTTTTTTTTGACCTCTTGATTTTTTGAGAGTGTGGTTTGATTTCTTTTTTTGGTTAATAATTAATTTTCCTTCTGTGACTGCTTTCCAGCTTTATTTTGCAAACCATTTCAGCAGTGCAATACTTGAATAGTTTTTTTTCAGATTCTAATAAGTTGCCTTGTCATTCACATTGTGTGACAATGCCACATACATAGGTGTTTTTATTTATGGCCACTGGTTTCCGTAACAGTCAGAAGAGACTTGTATTGTAGACAGAACAATGTCCCCTCCTCTTAAAGAGGTACATGTCTTAAGACCCAGAACTTGTGAATATATAACTTTATATGAAAATAAGATTTAGGAGAAATGATTTTGTTAAGACTCTTGATATTGAAAGGTTATCTTAGATTATCAGGTGGACACAGTACAATCACGAGAGTCATTATTAGAAAAGTCCAATTTAGAGAAGGGCAAGTGACAACAAAAGCAAGAGTTTGGAGAGAGAAGAAGATGGAAACCATGAGAAAAGATAGGTGGGCAGCCTCTAGAATTTGGAAAGGCAAGGAAGAGAGTCTCCAAAAGCTGGGCTGATACTTTGAATTTATCCAAGTAACACAAATTTGGACTTCTGACCTCCAGACAATATATAAGATAATTTTCTGCTGTCTTAAGCCATTAAGATTTTGGCACTTTCTTAAAGCAGCATCAAGAAACAATATAACATGATCTGACAATCCCAGAAACTTGAAGCAATATTTAACTTCTTGTTTACACTACATATTTCTTGTGTATTGTGAGCTCTTTACAAAACGGTCATACCAGCCTCTTGGAGCAGACCCCATCATGACATGTGGATCTCTGTGGAAAAGGAAAGTTGGCCATATTCATCAGATCTTCTCATAACCCAGTTACCTAAAGAAACCTCATGGTTCCACCAAAAGCAACTTTCAGAAGTGCATCTTTCCATGAAGCCAGAAAGTGAACAGACAGATATATTTGAGGGAAAGTCACACTTCCAGAGAGGGCTCAGCCCTCACAACCACATGCTACCAAATCATTTAACCACTCTGCACCTCAGTTTTCTCATCTGTAACAAGGTCTCACTTACAGACTGATTGTGAGGATTACTCATGATGACACATGCAGTGTGTTGAGCTCAAGGCCTGTTCTTGGTTCAGCTCAGTCAATGGGCTGTTGTTGATAGATAGCTGAAGAAACTTAGAGGATCAACAAAGGATGGAAAACTAACTTCTGTGTGTTACCCTCCAGGAGAGGCTGCTGAGAAGGAGCTGCAGGTGATTCAGCCTGACAAGTCGGTGTCAGTCGCAGCTGGAGAGACGGCCACTCTGAACTGTACCCTGACCTCGTTACACCCCATTGGACCCACACAGTGGTTCAGGGGGACTGGACCAGGTGGGGAGTTAATCTACAGTTACGGAGGAGGTCACTTTCCCCGAATAACAAATACTGCAGACACCACAAAGAGAAACACCATGGACTATTCCATCCGCATCAGTAACATCACCCCAGCAGACACCGGGACCTACTACTGTGTGAAGTTCCGGAAAGGAGACACTGACGCCGTGCCGTTTAGGTCTGGACCGGGCACTCAGCTTGTTGTGAGTGGTGAGTACAGAGTGAGTCCTTCGTCCCTGGTGTGTGACAAGTCAATAAGAACACCATTCCTTCTCTGAGCAGCAACTAAGAATCAAGGGCACAGTGGATGCTTACGGTCATGATCTGGTTCACAGTCTGATTTCATCCCTTCTACAGATCAGGGGTGTTGATGCCTGAAGAAGTCGTGCTGTTTGCTCAGGCCCCAAAGCTGATAAATGGTGGGAAAAGTTAGGAGCTCCCGTCTGTCTGGCTCCCCAGCCCTTCCCTTTTGTAGTCCTGTTCAGCCTTTTGGTTCTAGGGATGAGGGAGCTGAGAGTCTGAGTTACTTGCCTGTCACAAAGATAGACCTCACTCATGTCTCCAAGGAGTGCTCCCATCAATGTGGCCGAGCTTCTCTTACTGATACTTGCTGAGCACCCACTGTGGGCCAGGTTCTGCTCTGGGTGCTGTGGCAGCAGCAGTGAACAAAGCTGCCAAAGATTCTTCTCCCATGAAGCTTTGTTCTGTTCTGTCTAGTGAGAAGAAACACATTCAGGGCAGGAAAAGGGAAAAGTGTTTCTCTATTTCAACTTCAGAAACATCAAACTGAAAAGAAATTCCTAAGAGGCACAGACTCACTGTTTACTCTGACAGCCCTGGTGGGAGGAGGTGCCCAGAGGTTGCATGTTCTCTGGGGTTCTGTCTGGGAAAACCTCCTCTGGTTTAGGGACCAACTCACACAGTCACTGAAGTATCTAAGAATGGCTGGGTTGTCTCAGACTATTCCTCACTGAGGGAAGAGGTTCCTTATGTTGGCCCATTGAGGCAGCAACGATGCTTCTTTAGGGTTTTCTGCCAGAGGCCCAAGATTCTGAGTCCTGGAATGTTAGCACACGAAAAATTTTAGATCATCCAGTCTGTATCTACATGTACAGATGGAGCCTGAAGCCGAAAGATGACAGGGCTTTGCCCACAGTCACATGGCTGGAAAGTGAGGGGATTGTTCCAGAAATCAATCTGATTCTAGGCTCGTTTTTTCTTGCCTGGGCTTTGGACTCTCTCCCTGTGGAAAAGCCTGGCACATAGTACGTGCAGAATAAAAGCCCGTTACATAGAATCGTTTAACAGTAAGCCAGACTTATCTTTTTATTGGTTTCCTTTAGGTTCAGATAACCCTCACATTAGACTTTGAGGGTCTAGATGATTGGGAACCTGTTTCAACCTTCAGCCGTATCACCCAAAACCATATCAGCACCTAGAGCTGCTCATTGTTCAATAGCTGCATACACTCCAGTGGATGGACATTGCATCGCTCATTGACAGCTTTCTGTTGATGAATATGTTGTTCCTAACCTCAGGCTATTAAAACAGTGATGCAGAAGATAAACTTTTCCATGTGTCACTCTACTCATGAGGGAGATGCCACTGAAAGTGACATTGCTAGGTCAGAGGCTATGTGCAGTGTAATTTGTGTGGATATTGCCAAATTTCTCTCCTACATGTGGTAGCAATCGCGTTTCCTCATAACCCCTGGACATAGCCCGGGAAGGTGTCTAGATATTAAGTTTGCTGATATTACCAAAGTTCTCAATGCAGCATTCTTTTCCTAGGCAATCACGGCTAGTAAGTGACTCCATCACCACTCAGATCGGCTGCCTCCTGATCAAGTGTTCATCTTCTTCCCCAAAGCACCTGTCCAGATGATTCCCTGGATGAGAAAGCAGGGGGTGGCAGGGACAGGGAGTAGCAGTATGAGAGATGCTGCATCTTTCTCATGGAATTTACTCTTATAACCATTGCTGTGAGGGCAGCTGTTGCTCATTTTTACAGATGAGGACTCTAAGGTTCGTTCATATAGGGGACCTTACCAGCCAACCTGTATGGGAGCCAAGACTCAACCATAAGCATTTACTCTTGCCGTTTACAAAAACAGATGAACCTAGAATGTATTATGCTAAGTGAAATGAGTTCGACAGAGAAAGTCAAATAACATAAGGTTTCAATTATATGTGGAATCTAAAAAAACAAAACAAACAAGGAAATAAAACAAACAAACCAAAAAAACCAGACTCAGAAACAGATCAAACTGACGGTTGCCAGAGAGGAGAGGTGTTCAGTAATGAGTGAAAAAGGTGAAGGAGAATAACAGGTACAAACCTCTCGTTATAAATAAAGAAGCCACGGGGATGTAGTGCACAGCACAGGGAATGTGGTCGGTAATATCGTAATAACTTACACCATGACAGATGGTTACGAGACTTACTGTAGTGATCATATTGTACAGTATATAAATGTCTAATCACTATGTTGTACCCTAAACTAATAGAATACGGGATGCCAAATACACTTTAATTAAAAAATCTTTAAACATTCAGTAGCTTTCCCCTGCCCCCGCTGTTATGATGATTTTCCTTCACTGAGCAGCCTGCAGGAGCACCCTGGGGACAGTGGCCTGAATAGAGCAGAGAGGAGCCACTGCAACCCCCGCAACACCATGCATGCCAGTTCCTGACTCCACAGGCTGAGGATGAGAAGAGGGAGCATTTCCCAGAGGCTGCCAGAGGCCCCTCATGAGCAAGCGTTCATATTCTAGATTCAGCTGACAGGAGCCCACAACTTCTGGTTATTGCTACCAGGTCCCCAAACCTGGGCGCTCGGAAATGAATCTCCCTATCATTCCTTGAAAGCAGGAATCTCATAGAGAAAAGGGTAGGGCGGTGGTCAGTGCTGGGCCCATGAACGTGGGGCACTTGCCCTGTTCATGGACATGAACATTTCCCGTGCTTGCCCTCGGTTTCTTCACCTGCAGACATCGGGTGAGCACATCAATCTTTAGAATGGTTTGAGGATACAGTGAGCCTGGTGAGAGAACAGACCCTCAGTGAGCGGAGTTGCTGTCATCTCAACACTGTGTGGTCTTGGCAAGTCTCAGTTTCCCTCCGGTCCTTAGTTGTTCCATGTGTGAAGTGGTGATAATCACGCTACTGTTCAGGGGTCTGTGAGGCATTGGAGACCAGTGAGGAAGTGTTAATAGGAAGAGAGACTAATCAATAATTTTGTTCCTATGGCCAGTTATGTGGGAATCGCCTATAAAGAAAGTAGACTAGACTTTGAACTTAGGACTAAAATTCTCTGTCTGCCCTGCCCCTCACTTAGAGATCATCTCTGGTGACCTGTGTGTCCTCCTCTATAAGATAGGATGATGATACCAGGCTCCACGCATTATTAGAGGGATTAAAAAATAATACATGAGAAGGTCCTTAACAGTGTTGCATGCTTATCCTTAGTGGTGATCATCACAAACATGTTTATTGCTTATTATGCTCCTTTTGTAGCCAAACCCTCTCCCCCCGTGGTATCGGGCCCCACAATGAGGGCGCAGCCTGGGCAGACAGTGAGCTTCACCTGCAAATCCCACGGCTTCTCCCCCAGAAACATCATCCTGAAATGGTTCAAAGATGGAAATGAGCTCCCAGCCTCCCAGACCACCGTGGACCCAGAGGGAGACAGCGCTTCCTACAGCCTCTCCAGCACAGCCAAGGTGTCGTTGGTCCCGGGGGATGTTCGCTCCCAAGTCATCTGCCAGGTGGACCATGTCACCCTGCAGGGGGGCCCTCCTCTTCGTGGGACTGCCAACCTGTCTGAGACCATCCGAGGTAGATGCCCCTCACAACCAGGCCCAGCCCATACCTGGCCCCCGCCCTCCAGGCCTGCTCCTCCCCCTGCTCTTTGCTCCAGGCCTGGAATTGCCTAGAATCTATTTCCTGACACTCCTTTCCATCATCGGGTACCTGAATGTGCTGTCACTCACTACTGTTTAATGGCAGCTGCCAAGTGAACGCCTACCATTCTGTAGGTAGTTTCATTTACTTTACAATAGCCACTCCAATTATCGAGCACCTACTGTAAGCGAAGCCCCTGTGTTCTTGGTCATTTCATTTATTTTGCTACAGTTAGTATGTTCCCACTGCATGCCAGGGGCTGTGTTTGTTGATTTTGTCACATTACCCTAATAGAAGCTACTGGTTCTTGAGCACCTACTGTGTGCAGGGCACTGTGCTTAGTGATTTTATTCCTATGCAAAGAGCACTCTCAGTGTCCGAGGGGCT